ATTCGAGCAACAGATGAAGGTGGTTTAGGTGTATCAAGTTATGCACCCATTAGTATTAAAGTCGTCGATATAAATAATAATGCACCAATACCAACGGTAAAAATTCTTCGAAAGAAATGTTCTTTTTTTAATTTTTTTTTTAAATTCGATAATAGATTAATTTGTTTTTTTGTTTTTCTATTATAATTTAGAATTCACCTTGGATATTAAATGAAAGTGAAATAAATCCAAGTACTACAGTAATTTTTACTGATTATGATGATCCAGCACAAAATAATACGATACCATTTCGTGTTGAAATTTTAAGTCCATCAGGTTTTACATTATCTGGTCCAACATTAAATTATGATGGAAGATATCAATTAACATATAATGGTATTTTAAATCGTACAATAACAAAAAATTTAACTGTTACATTTAATGCAAGTGATAATAAAGGTTATTCAGCAATAACAACAATACCAATTATTGTTGGTGATATTTTAAATACATATCCAATATCGGATGGTTTTAAAACAATAAATATACTTTATGTTAATGGTTATATGAATTCATTACGAAATGTTCCACTTGGTTCAGTTTATGTTAATGATTTAGATGATTGGTTTCGTACAAGTCGAACATATTCAATACGTGATGTTAGTAATGGACAATTATTTAGTGCTTCACAAGGTTTTTTAAGTACACCTGAAGCACTTTATCCAGGATCATATACAATACATGTTGATGTAACGAAACCTATAGCATCATCAACAGCTTTAAGTACAATTGATCTTTCAGTTACGGGTGTTGATAGTGAATTTGTTCGAGAAGCAGCAACAATTCGTATTCAAGGTAATGCTTTTAATATATATATGAAAGAGTAGGTCGAGATTCGAAAAGCTAAAATAAAAACTTACTGCTACATATCTTTAGTACTGACTGTGAAAGATTTTTTTTTTCTTTTCGAATTCTACAAACACGACATACGCTAACAATCAAAGCATGCGACTGCTTGTTGTTTGTTGTATTCAATGATATTTTTCTTTCTGATGATTTACTCATATTCGTTCTTCATGATCCATAACAAAAAATTAACATTAGTTTAACTTTTGAATATCTTAATCTCTAAAATGATGCACTGGTAGTCTTTTCTAGATTCATTAGGTTTATTACTGAATATACGTGTTCTATGAAAAAACTATCTTAAGAACGGCTGAACTTATCGAGCTATCTTCTGATTCTTAAGCGTTTCTCGATGTGTTCTTTCTTTTGTCTAGCGGACACTTTTGTCCAAAAGGCTCAGAAGTAGATTTTCAGTAAAACCTACTTCCGAGCATTTTGAACAAGTGTCCGTTAGACAAAAAAGAACACATACGTTCAGTCGTTCTTAATATAGGTTTTTCATGGAATACGCCTTTTGATCATATGTATAGAATCTACTAGTGAAACAAAAATTTTTCTTGTACATTTAATTTTCAATATTTCGTTTTAGGTGAATATCCTGAAACATTAATTGATCTATCACTTGGTAATCGTCTTAATATACTTCGTAATGCACTTGCATCATTTTTACTTGTTACTACTGATTCAATTATTATACTTGCTATACGTCCAGTTTATCAATATCGTAGTCTATATTATCCACCATTACCATTTAATCAAGCTAAAAAACAAGCATTAACTGATGTTATTTTTTATGTACCATCATTAAAGAGAAATGATATTGAAAATACATTAAATATGAATCTTCCATTATTTTTATCGCGTTATGATATAATAGCAAATGCAAGTGGACCAAATCCATGTACAAATTATATTTGTCCAACAAGTAAAAAATGAAGATTTTTCGTTTTTTTCTTTTATATTATAATGTAATTTATTTTTATTTTAGATACAATTTGTCGATCAACACGTGCTATTCAACCATTACCTTATGCAATTGATGCAAATCAAACATCGTTTGTTGGTATAAATATTGTTGATTCAGCTGATTGTGTTAATTCAACATATTCAACAAATTTTACAAATACACAATTTGGATGTATTACATATACATTTAATAATTCAACATATTGTCCATGTACATCATTACAAACATATGCACCACTTGGACCATATTGTCAAGTACTTGGTAGAACATTTAATGAAAATGGTGGTGGTTATGCTGTATATGATGGAAGAACTTTTTCAAATCGTGCACCAACACGTTTTTC